ATTATTATTATTATTTTTCTTTTCCATTTGGCATAACAATTTTTTTAAAATATAATATATATATTGAAGTTTATCATATAAAAAATATTGGATAAGTAGATGGGTAGATAGAGATGTACCAAGGCACGACAGACAGGATAAGGATGGAGAAGCCTTCTCCATCCTCGTACCTACCCTATTTTTCATTTTCTATCTCCACGCAATTTTTCATTTATTTTTATGAGGATCGGGATGAGAATTCCCTTTAGCAAACCTGTGACTTGTAGCATTGGCGTTAATACCTACTAGGTTAAGGATGTAATGAGATCTACGAGTAGGTTGTTTACTGAATATTTTAATATTCATCCCTTGTCCCTTTCTTTTTTAGGTGTTCGCATGTGATGTCCCACGTTGGTTGGGAAGGAAAACAAAATACTCCTTATAAGGTGTGGAAACCTTCCCCTAGTAGACGCGTTTTAAAGCCTTGAGGGAAGCCTAAAAGGAAAGCCTAAGGAGGACAATATCTGCTAGCAGTGTGTTTCGGCTGTTACAAATGGTATCAGAGCCAGACACCGAAAGGGCTGTTACAAATGGTACAAAGGCTACGGTACTGTCCTAACGGGTAATTTGGACACGTACCATATACTCTACACACAGCCCATACATGCGAGTATGGGCTCACTAGTCAGTTCGCACACCGCTGGGCCACATTCCTTGTCGGGCGAGCATACTCTGGGAGCTCCTTAGGCCGGACACCCGTTAGAACTAGTAACCGTCACGGCAGCGCTATGCAAAACATAACGATCGTTGTCCTACCATTGGATGTACGTGTCGTGTCATACACTCGTGATGGAATAGGAGTATCCCCCAAATTCATGAACACACATAATGCATGAGGTCCCCAATATTTCTACTTTTATCATTAATGAATATAACCCCGCTATCATCTTTCATGCTGAACATGTCATTTCTCATTTTTCAGTCTTCGTATCATACATAATCCTAACGGGGTTACATTTCATTTATTGTGATATCATGACATTCATAACATGCTGTATACATACATTTTAGAAAACATAACATAATGCTCCATGCTTTTAACATGTCATTTCATAACGTGCCATTCATACAACAATTACCCCAATGGTCACATAAAACAATCTAAATATAACACATCACATCACAATATATCGTATCATAATATGTCATATCGTAAACACTTCGTGGTCATATCGTTCCCTAATTTATCATAGCCTTAAAGTTCTTATACCTATCACAGTCATATCGTTACGTGAACGTACCTTAGTCATATCGTCACAGGAACGTATCCTAACGCTATCGTTCTATCAATCTATCACAAACCTATCCCTTTCTACCCATATTCTAACCATATTCTTTCATTAATCTCTCCTACCCATAGCACTCCGATATGTAACCTAACCTTAAACGTTTCATGAACGTATCTTACTCCTATCGTTACATATTATAACATAACATAAGCATATTGATTCACAGATAATTCTCACATATCAATATATATGACACGTGCAGAACCACATGCACGTGTCGACATCAAATATAATCATGCCGATAGTAAGGTCACTTACCAAGTCGTTGTCACGAATATATCCTTAATTGAAGTTCGATTTTCGTCCTTTGAAATTCAAGTCAACCTATGTGAGCCCATGACATCAGTTTCAAGTTTAAACTCTATCAAATTATTTCTCTCATTTACATTGATCCATTGTTAAAAGTCTTTAAATGTTATATATCTATAATTATATTTTTATTAAAAATCTTATTTTTCATGGTTACTGTTGTATAAAAAGAGTAGATAGAGTTATGAATTATTCTGCCCTTTGCTACTCTCTGTATTTACCTTTCTCTCCATATATATTTAGTTTGTGGTTTTTAACTTCTGAATTTTTTTTCTATTGCTTTTTAATTTTGTTCTCAAATTTGGCTACTGATATAAATTTAACATAATATTACTAATCTGACATGATTTACTGATTTACTAGAATGTGTATAAATGATTGACATTTAGTTTCTAACTTAAAGCTAAACCATTGGAATAATTTAACGAGATTTACTTATAATTGGCTGTTATTTCTAAAAAAGAAATAAGATAAAAGAAAATGAAGATTTAATATATCAGATCTATCTTCACGTAAATCTCAACTGTGTAAAGCCATTCTCCTTTTTTCAATTTGACAATTGTTCTTTTGTCTGGTAAAGTTACTTTCTGCGGTAAAAATGTGTTGAGGAGAGATAATTTATTTATTTATTATTATTTGTGGAGAGAGGGGGGAGAGGTTGCTTTATTTATTTATTTATTTATTATTATTTTTTAACTATTTTTTATAATTATTTTTATTTGTTTATTACTTTATTTATTTCCTTATTTATGATTTTATTTATTATTTTTTTGGGCTATTACATTGTATCTCGAACCCATTTTTTCTATTTGTAATAAATTTGGAGATGTTGTTTGTCTTATCTTTATTTCAATTTATGTTTGATTTTAAAATTTGTGCAAATTTTATCGTTTTTTCGTTGTCAGCCCATATGTCGATCCATGATTCGAAACCTTAAAAATCGAGTTGATACATATACTTCTTATCTATGCTTTAAAAAACCAAAATTCTGATGATTACCAAATGGTTATCAAATATGTAATGATCCTATTTTTTCTATAATAGAGTTGCTACTACATGCATGGCTTAATTAAGAAATGCAGAAAAACCTTTACTACCATGACATGTGCAAAATCGTTAAAACAATCATAGCGAAAAACAAATCATGTGAAACTTTGATAAAATAAAGAAAAAAATAAAACAATTACTGATCTAAACCCTATTTTCAGTCTCATGTCCATCAACATCGTCATCCGTGCAAAAGTGCCTTTCTTTTATCTTGAAAAGTAAGAGCAGCATGTGACTTAAGTATTTTAAGAAATATTCAGTAAGTGACTTTACTGCAGAAATGCAATCACATGTACTTGTGTTTGAGACCTGCCATTAAACTTCACTACACGGTCATTAAACATCTTTATACATGACCACATACTTGCACATGGACTCCCAAGCGGGCTGATATACGTATCCCTTGGATTTGGGCTTTGTAGGGGTTGTATTGCCGAGGTTTAGGTTCGGTTTTGTAGGCTCGAATATGAAAATTAGATAGCGTCTTTTAGTGTTCCATCGTAATGATTTTAAAATTTCATATAAATGAAAAATATTTATGTTTCGTTCCCCTAAATACTTTCCAAGTTCACATTAGTTAAATTTAGATTGTAACGACCAGAAATTTATTAAAAAAATAAATAATAAAATAAAATAAAATAATTGCGCAGTCGCCGAAATCCTCGAGAATCCCCGAGATGCTTGCCTCACCCACGACTCCTCAGTACACGGTTCATTCAGCCACTCACATCTAAGAACAGACATGCAAGAGAGTGAAATGTGAGAGACGGAGAGAGAACGGAATGTGAAAGATTTCTTTCTTCCCATTTGAAGTTCACTGCCGACATGAATAGGAGAACAATTGATACGTACAACGAGAACGAGACCCATGGTCCAAGCACACCCACAGCAAGGTACATACACTCACACGCGTAAGCTCCCCCTCAATGACACGTGTCACTGTTGTAGACGCCAGCTCTAGTAGCTCGACTTGGCTTCACACAGTCCCTTGGCTAAAAAACGACTTTATTCTGTTTGGGTTGGCAATTTTGGCATCAATTCTTACATTTTTTTTTATCCTTTCTGAGTTGATTTTGACCCTAATTAAGAACGGGATGGACCTCCTAATAGGAAACGACTCCTGCAATGCTTGGAGCAACTTTGAGGGATGAAAGACAAGCGTACTTGAATTTAGCGAAACGACGGCTAAGGCCAACCAAATAAGTGTTCTTACTATCGGATAGGTTGGATGACTTGTTTTATGTATGACGACACATGCCTCGTGGCCCTTGCACGTGTCATTTATGTTTTATACTTATGATGTTGTGACTATATTATATGATGATGATATATGATATACGATATATGACGTATGATGACGTGATTGAGTTATATGATAATGCCATATGATATTATATGATGTTCTATGATGTTGTGACATGATGATGTCATATGATGACGACGATGCATGACAACATGATGATATAAAATGTAAGATTATGAAATTTCTTAATATGACGTTATTCATATTAAGATTAAATGCATGTTTTAAATGTCATAATGCATTATGACCGTGATTTTACTAAGACACAACTCTAGTTAATGTCAATGAATATATATTTAAATAATTATAAAAAATTTCAATCATAGTTTAATAATGCCATATATGAATATTAAAAATAGAAAAAGAAAAAAAACTTATATCACTTATTCTGAAACAAGATTCCTAATCAATCTATTATTTATATTTATATATATCACAATAAATAATATTTATATTTGTTTTATATAATTAATTATCTTTCAAGATGGGTTGATTTAAGTACTCATTAATGAACAAATTATTATCAATTATAAACATTAAATTAATTAATTTTAAATTATTAAATAATATTTTTATTTTAAATTTTAACCATCATTAAAAAAAATTAAATACTTATATATTAAATTATTTAATAAATAAATTTAACTTATTTTATTATAAATAATAGTGTTAATAAATATTGTATTATGTTGATGTAAGTTATTAGTAGATATATAATTTAAGTAAATATACCCTATTTTTTATTTATATTAATTTATAAAAATAGAACAATTTAGTGCATTAGTATTATTATCTTAATTATTTTCAATGTATTGTTATCCATTATAAATTTAATTTAAGCATATTTATAAAAATTAAATAAATAAATAAAGAAAAAAATAATAATAAGATACATATAACCACGCCTAATTATTATCAATTATTTTATTTCCACAATGTTTATAAATCATCGTTATATCGGTATCTTTATAAAATTACGATTTAGAACATATACATCGAGATCGACATGTAAACGAGACGGGGTGGTCGAGAACTAGAGGGAATTGATAGCAATTTTCATCCCAACTTGGCAGTGGTCTGGCGTGGTGCATATGAAGAAGCTGTGTCCGGTTGAGAGCATGATCTCATCCTTGCCTGAATTGAACACTTTGGCGCCTCTTGGAGCTATGCAGCTTCTATAACCCCCCTCGTCCACTGCTACCACGTTGTGAACTATCGGGTTATAGTTGAATCCTACAAAAAAAAAAAAAATGTATGTATTCGTTTCGTTTATTCTTAACGATCTAACTGCGAATTCGATCGGATACTATTGAAATATATTTTATATAGCTGTAATGTAACAACCCAGATCCTCTTTGGGCTTTCCCTTTCGGGTTTCCCCTCAAGACTTTAAAACGCGTCTGCTAAGGGACTTGTGTTTTGATATATTTTATCTTATCTCAAGGATTTGATTAGTAGAATATTTTCTCTTTTCTCGGACTTTCGATCCCACTTCTGTTTTTCATTCTTAGCATAGTATCAGAGCATCAATCTTAACAGATACGATTATGCAAGTAAATCATCAGTTACTATTCAACGATCAAAACGAGAGTTGAAAACTCACTTAATATGTCACCCGCTCTAAACACCTTCCCATTAGGCCATCCCTCCACACCCAGGTTCCATCCGTTCGAGTCGCCAACAACAAAAGTTGCAGCAGCAACGCCATTGCAACAGCCACCGTGCTCATCGAAACCGCTCCACTGCTCCCCTCGTGTCGAGCCATTCGTGAAGTCGAAGTAGCTCTCAGAAAAGATATGTAAAACAATTGTATTCCTTTGAAGCTTGAAAATGATGGTTATAAAGATAAGTAAAACATACCAAACTTGCCTTTTTCTTTTCCATTGTTTCTTGTGGAGAAGTAGTGGGCGGTTTTGAGATTGATTCTCTTCACTAACTTCTCATTCCTTTTCCAATTATTTCTCTCAACCCAGCAAAAAAAAAAAAAAAATCACAGTTTGCAAAAAAGAAACAGAAAAATAATAATTAATAGATTTAATTTGAGGAAAAAAATGAGAACAGACTTTACCCCATTTACCTGAAGAAGATTTACTTGGAGATAGATCTGAACATTAAAATATATGTTAAATCTTAACTTTTTTTTGTACTACTTTGTTTTTAGAAATAACAGCCAATTATGATTAAATCTTCCTTAATTAGTTTTGAGTTACCAATAATTTATATGAATTCTAGTAAATCACTTTAAATTAATATTATTAGATCAGTACATTTATATCAGTAAACAAATGAATAGATTAAAAATAAAATGACAAAAGAAAATTTGTGAACAGAATCAGTGTTAACGGAATGAGAAAAAAAGGAAACACAGAAATAAGGAAAGATTTGGAAAAGAGGATCCACTAGAAATTTGGAAGACATGTGAACAAAAGGTAATAGTGTAAGAACCGGGCTGACGGATGGCTCTAAAAGGCGGGTAAAATTTTCCTTCTTGATAAAATCATTAAAATTTAAAATATAATTTACATTATACCAAAATAGTGTGTGCACATTAGTAATTTAAAATACAACATAATAGTTAAGAGAGAGGATAAGGAACAGACACAAAACATTTTAAAACAAAAGGTTTGAGGACGACGGGTAAAGTTAGTCTATGACATCTGCTACAAAGTCCGCTCCCAACCTCGACCAGCTCCTTATCACCTGAAAAAAAAATGGAGAATAAGGAATGAGTACAAGACTCAGTAAGTAGCCTACTTGTAGGCTCTTAATCATGTCCTTGATATGCTACGGTACCACATTCTTTGTTCTTGCTTGTTCTTGATCTTATTCTTGTTGTAAATACTTAGGCCCTTCTAATTCTGTTCTTGACTTGGGGTTCTTATCTTGATCTTAAGAGTTTCATGAGTATCTGCTACAACATCACTAGGTGAGTTTTCTTGCAACTTAAGCTCAACTCCCACTTGCTTCGTGGTCTTGGAACCTTGCTCCACATCTGGTTCCTCAGCAGTAGTCTCAGGAGTTTCATGAGTATCTGCTACAACATCACTAAGTGAGTTTTCCTGTAACTCAAGCTCAACTCCCACTTGCTTCGTTGTCTTGAAACTATGCTCCACATCTGATTCCTCAGCAATAGCCTCAGGAGTTTCACGAGTATCTGCTATAACATCACTAAGTGAGTTTTCCTGCAACTCAAGCTCAACTCCCACTTGCTTCGTTGTCTTAGAACCATGCTCCACATCTGGTTCCTCAGCAGTAGTCTCAGGATTTTCATGAGTATCTGCTACAACATCACTAGGTGAGTTTTCCTGCAACTCAAGCTCAACTCCCACTTGCTTCGTCGAACCTTGCTCCACATCTGATTCCATTTCCAACCGCACTTTCTTCAATTCTTTAGCGGTCCTTGTGAAGCTAACTCATTTCTGTTTGCTCATAACGTAGTTCTCACAATGACCCACATCAACAGATTTCAAACCTTCCAAAACTTCTTTCGCGACCAGTGTCTTCAATCCTTTCACGCTCATATGTCCAAGTCTATTGTGCCATAGACTTGAATTTGAAGCACTTTCAGCAACAACAACTATGTTTATACACCCTGTAGTGGTGTATAAGGTTCCAGATTTTGTGCCACATGCTACTACCGTAACACCCTTCATAATCTTCCATGAACTCTTTCCTAACTCTATTGCATAACCTGTGCTGTCCAACTGACCAATAGAGATCAGGTTCTTCTTGAGACCAGGAATATATCTGACATCCTTTAATGTCCACTGATTTCCTGCTAGAGTTTTTATGCAGACATCCCCTTTTCCTTTAATTTCCAAATCTTTGTTGTTGGCAAGATACACCTTCTCGAAATTTTCAGACTTGATATTCCAGAAGAACTCTTTATTTGGAAATGAATGAAAAGATGCACCTGAATCCAAAATCCAGGATTCAATCGAACTATCCACGTTGAGGATTAAAGCATCCCCAATATCTTCTGCTGAATTTATAGAATCATCATCATCTCCAGATTTGTGATTCTGCTTCCTCTTTGGTCTTATACAACTTGTCCGAAAGTGACATTTTTCTCCACAATTCCAACACATTACATTTAGTCTATTTGAAGATTTTTCTCGGTTCTTTGATTTTGATTGCCCTTTGTTTGGGCCCTTCGGTTTACTTCTTCCCCGTCGGTCAACACTGAGAGCACTACTAGATGAATTTCCAATTTCTCGTTTGCGAATACTTTCGCTGAGAACTACATTTCGAATTTCATCAAACTTCAGTTTATCAGATTCTCGCGAACTACTGATTGCGATAACAACAGTATCCCACGACTCGGGTAAAGATGACATCAAAATCAATGCTTTAATTTCATCATCGAAATTAATTTCACCGAACTCAGTTGACTTACGATCATATTGTATTCATTTATATGATCAACAATAGATCCACCTTCAGATATCTGTAGATTGAACAATCTCCGCATCAAATACACCTTGTTCATAGCCGACGGTTTTTCGTACATAGGCGACAGCGCCTTCATGAGATCTGGCGTTGTCTTCTCCTTGATGATGTTAAACGCCATGTTTCTGGATAGCGTCAACCGGATCATCCCTAAGGCTTTTCGATCCTTGAGCTTCCACTACTCCGTGGTCATGGTATCCGGCATCACTCCCAATAGGGGTTCGTGAAGATCTTTTTGGTACAAATAATCTTCAATCTACATCTTGTTAGGTTATTTAGCTTGATGCTTATTTATAGCTTGATCAACTGTTATATCTGGTAAAGCTATATTTGGTAAAGCTATATATGGTAAAGCTATATATGGTAAAGCTATATCCGGTAAAGCTATATATGGTAAATAGCTATATATAGTAGATGGCTAAATCTGGTAAAACTATATATAGTAAACTAAACCATATATATATCTCGTCCGGTAGAGCTTTGAAAATGTACTTTCTATTCTCTGTACTCTCTCTTGTTGTACATACCTGAAGTCATCAATAAAAAAAAAAAAAAAAATCCTTTTAGCCAGAGTTCTCCTTGCAATTTTCTCTATCCTGTTCTTTGTGTTCATCTAGATCGAGCGTGTGTATTGTTGTGCGATCCTAACAACGGGTATCAGAGCTAACGATTGGTATCGATCCCAACAATTGGTATCAGAGCCAGGTGGAAGTCAGAGACAGGCGGAAGTCAGAGCTAGGAGCCAGGCGGAAATCAGAGCCAGGCAAAATTCATCACGATCTGTGAAGATGGAAAGTTCAAACATTGGAATTGAGAAGTTTGATGGATCCGATTTCGGTTTCTGGAAGATGCAGATTGAAGATTATCTGTACCAGAAAGATCTTCACGAACCTCTATTGAGGGTGAAGCCGGATACCATGACCACGGAACAGTGGAAGCTCAAGGATCGACAAGCCTTAGGGCTTATCCGGTTGACGCTATCCAGAAACGCAGCGTTCAACATTATCAAGGAGAAGACAACGTTAGGTCTATTGAAGACGTTGTCGAATATGTACGAAAAACCGTCGGCTATGAACAAGGTGTATTTGATGTGGAGATTGAGTCCTTGTGAGAAACTGCGTTATGAGCAAACAGAAACGAGTTAGCTTCACAAAGACTGTTAGAGAATTGAAGAAAAGTACCGGATGCATCGCTGAAACTCTAGAGAGGGTTGCATTGGCTGGAAGCGTCGCTGAAACTTCAAAGGGGGTTGCGTCGGCCGGAAGCGTCGCTGAAACTTCAGAGGGGGTTGTGTCGACTTGAAGTATCGCTGAAACTCCAGAGGGGGTTGCGTCGGTCGGAAGTTTCGCTGAAACACTAGAGGTGAAGCAAGTGGGAGTTGAGGTTGAGTTGCTGAAAGATTCACATATTGATGTTGTAGCAGATACTCAAGAAACTCCTGAGACTGTTGCTGAGAAACCAAAGGTGAAGCAAGTGGGAGTTGAGGTTGAGTTGCTGAAAGATTCACATAGTGATGTTGTAGCGGATACTCAAGAAACTCCTGAGACTCTTGCAGAGAAACTAGAGGTGAAGCAAGTGGGAGTTGAGGTTGAGTTGCTGGAAAAATTCACATAGTGATGTTGCAGCGGATACTCAAGAAACTCCTGAGACTCTTGTTGAGAAACCAGAGGTGAAGCAAGAGGGAGTTGAGGTTGAGTTGCTGAAAGATTCACATAGTAATGTTGTAGCGGATACTCAAGAAACTCCTAAGACTCTTGCTGAGAAACCAGAGGTGAAGCAAGTGGGAGTTGAGGTTGAGTTGCTGAAAGATTCACTTAGTGATGTTGTAGCAGATACTCAAGAAACTTCTGAGACATGCTGTTGGTGAGAAACCTGGTCTATCATTCAAAACACAGAAGGCGATACCATTTCACTCGGAGAAGATAGAGGGTGCAAAGAATCCAGCAAACATGTTGACAAAATGTGTTGATGTTAGATTATTGAGGTTGTGCAAAACCTCAATTGGTATGGTGTAGTGAAGATGCTAATGGTCGTTTGAGAGTGAAATTCTTGGTTGACTAGATCAGTCTCCAAGTGGGAGAATTGTTAGGTTATGGAGCCTGATGCTTATTTATAGCTTGGTCAACGGTTATATCCGGTAAAGCTATATTTGATAAAGCTATATTCGGTAAAGCTATATATGGTAAATAACTATATATAGTAGATGGCTAAATCTGGTAAAGCTATATATAGTAAACTAAACCATATATATATCTCGTCAGCTTTGAAAATGTACTTTCTATTCTCTGTACTCTCTCTTGTTGTACATACCTGAAGTCATCAATAATAAAAAAAAAAAAACCCTTTTAGCTAGAGTTCTCCTTGCAATTTTCTCTATCCTATTCTTTGTGTTAATCTAGATCGAGCATGTGCGTTGTTGTGCGATCCTAACAACTGGTATCAGAGCTAACGACTGGTATCGATCCCAACACATCTTCTAGAAACTAAAATCGGATCCATCGAACTTCTCAATTCCAATCTTTGAACTTTCCATCTTCACAAATCGTGGTGACTTCAACGTGGCTTTGATACCAGTTGTTAGGATCGCACAACAACGCACCCACTCGATCTAGATGAACACAAAGAACAAGATAGAGAAAATTGCAAGGAGAATTCTGGCTAAAAGAATTTGTATTGATGAGTATGTATAAGTGAGAATACTGAGAATAGAAAGTACATTTTCAACGCTCTACGGACCGGGATATATATATATAGTTCAGTTTACTATATATAGCTTTACTAGATTTAACCATCTACTATATATAGCTATTTACTATATATAGCTTTACCAGATTTAACCATCTACTATATATAGCTATTTACCATATATAGATTTATCGGATATAGCTTTACCAAATATAACTTTACCGGATATAACCGTTGACCAAGCTATAAATAAGTAGGCTCCATAACCTAAACGGTTTATTTTTAGAGATAGGTTGTTTTGAATTTATGAATCTTTATGAAAGATTTTGTTTTGTTTCCAAGGTTATTTATGATGAACTTCCACGTAATGAATTATGTATGCATGGGTGACGTTACTAATTAGGTTAAAGAAAAATTAGGGGCGTTACTACATATCTTCTAGGTGAGGGAAACTTGAGGCATGACATCCTGCAAAGAAACATGGTGCAGGGCATCCCACCTAGAAGAGGAATTCTTGGGCACCGCTTGGTGGGAGGTCAAGAGTCACTTTGGACATGATTAGAGTATTACCTAAAATTCTTGAGTTCCTATTTCTGAGTTTGGGGACCTTGGTCCCTCGTCCTTGAGTGGTACCTAGCATTCTTCTTACTTGGGTAGTTGTAAAGCTTGTGTGTTGTTGTTCTTGGTTCTTAATCTTGTAAGTTTCTAAGGTCCTTTATTCCTTGAGGCATAAGTTGTAACTTGTATTTGTAACCATATGAACCCATCTTAGTGGAAGTTTTTTTTGAAGGTCATAGATTCCTAAGGAGTTCTTTAGAGGGTTCTAGAAGAGTCTAGAGTCTTGTGGTGTTTTCTTTAGGTGTTTCTTAGATCCTAACTTGGATTAGGTTCCAACATTTCTTTAGGTATTTCTTCATGACCTTCATAATAGATCTTAAATAGCAAATCATTTTGGTCATTTTACCCTTAACTTGGTTTAGGTTCCAACATTTCTTTAGGTATTTCTTGGATCCTAACTTGGTGTTTCTTGGATCCTAACTTGGTTTAGGTTCCAACGGTCGCGCATGTATAGACCTTGAAATCTCATAAGTAGTCCTAGGGGCATTTTGGTCATTTTATCCCTAATTCTTGGTTTTGCTACTTAACGTGTTCCAATGGCTTTCAAACTTCACAAAATCATCAAAGATCATAAAATAAGATCTACTTCAGGGTTTCATAGCATTTGGAGGTCATCTAGGTCATGAACCGTAGGTAGATATCCTTAGGGGCATTATGGTCATTTTGCACCATTTCTTGGTTTACCTACTTATCCTTATCCAATGACTACCAAACTTCATATATAACCTCAACATGCTATAATATGCTCAGCATTAAAATTTTATAGGCAGCGGAGTTCATCTAGTGGGTTATTTTAACGTTATCTAAATCCCAAGCAATTTGTTCGGTTCAAGGTCTTAACTTATGTTTCCTAGGGTTTTTCTTTCATTTATCCTAATTTCATACTTGGTTTAGGGTTCATATGAAAATCCAAACAATTCCTACAAGTATTTCATAACAAAAAGTCCAAGGTGGCTACTTACCTCGTTGTCGACGTTTGGAACCTCCGTTCTTGAGCTTCCGGTACCTGAATTACCTGAACTTTCCTTTCACAGACTCCTTACTGTGTCTACTTTCTAGAACCATAGATTTTTTCATGAGAACCGGTTTGGAAGAGGGATAAAATTGAGAAAAACTAAGAGAAGGTCGAGTTTTGGGTTGACATGGCCGGTTCAACTGAACCGGCCACGTCATCGTCTACTTCCTCTGGACGGGAAGAGGAAGAAGACATGCGCGACCGATCGCGCCACCATCTGAACTCGCCCTCCCTAGCTCCTATCACGCCGTTTCTCCCCTCAATTCCTTTATGAAACTTAAAGAATGTGTTACAAGGAAGAGTTAGGGATTGATTTCATACATTTTCATGGATCATAGCCTAAGATATTTGCTTCCAAAGTTCGTCCAAAATATGATTTATCGTCGGAGTTAAAATAGAGGATTTCTTATTGGGTAGCCGATTTTAGGGCTTTCTTCACTAAACCTCTTCCTTATTATTCTCTCAAACTAAAGGAATTAGTTTGGAGGAATGATTTTGAGTGTGGGATCTTAATTTTCAGAAATCACTCTCGGTTTGCAAGTTACCCGATGTAACGACCCTTAATTTTACCTATTTAATCTAAGGTCATTACTATACCTTGAAATGCGGAATATACATTAAATGGACCCTATTGATAAATGCGACTTACTCTCGCCTTTTATTACCTCGTGAAAGAGAAAACGATTACAAGTAAAAAGAAAAGAACACTATTGAAATAAAGGAAAAGTAACAAAACCAAAATGAAAGTTTTATTCTACCCTATGGTTTATTATGCAAATATATTTCAACCTATACTAACCTATACTAATGATGCAAACCGAATTCAGCCTAGACTATGAAATGGGAAAAAAAACAAACAACTATCCTATGCATGTGCCACGGTCCCGAGGTGTACGATGCCGCCACCGTTGTCACAGGGGTGCCTTGACCTTATCTGCAAAAGTAAAGTAGCACGAGGCTTGAGTATTTCTAGAATACTCAGTAAGTGACCCCCTATTGGGGTTATGCGACAATCACATGCAATTTAATGATGGGACCTTATCGTTTCGTTTCGTTTTTCCTACGGTGCAATCCTAACGGGTAATCGTGGACGTGTACCATATACTATACACACAGCCCATACGTGCGAGTATGGGCTCACCAGCTAGCTCGCACACCATTGGGCCACTGTCCTTATCCGGTGGGCATACTCTGGGAGCCCCTTATGCCGGGACCCGTTAAACCTAGAACTGTCAAGCTAGTTTGTAAGCTACCGAATCTACTCTTTCTAAAATACATCGTGTACGCTTGAAAGTGAAGGTGGTAAAGCTAGTTTGTAAGCTAACGAACCTACTCTTTCTAAAATTTCGAATGGTCCAATGAATCGGGGCTTAGCTTCCTCTTGCGTTCGAATCTTAGAATGCCTTTCATGGGCGCTACTTTTAGAAACAATGGGTCCCCCTCCTCAAACTCTAAATTCCTATGCCTAATGTCGGCGTAGCTCTTTTGCTACTCTATGCAGTATGCATTTTTACTCTAATTTTCTGTACCACCTCGTTGGTGATGTGAACCAGCTCAGGTCCTACAAGTTCTCGTTCTCCTACTTCATCCCAGCACAATGAGGATCTACATCATTTTCCATACAACGCTTCAAAGGGTGCCATCCCAATGGTTGCTTGGAAGCTGTTGTTGTAAGAGAATTCCATTAAGTGCAGTTTAGTGTCCCAACTCCCTGTGAAATCCATAACGCATGCCCGAAGCATGTCTTCCAGGATTTGGTTTAATTGTTCCGTTTGGCCATCCGTTTGTGGGTGGAAGGCGGTGCTAAAGTCGAGGTGGGTACCCATTGCTTTTTGGAGTCCGCGCCAAAAGGCCGACGTAAAACGCGGGTCCTGATCCGGAACAATTGACACCGGCACTCCATACAACCTCACAATTTCTTTAACATATAGTTGGGCCCAATTGTCTACTGTATATGTTGCCTTACCTGGTAGGAAGTGGGCCGACTTTTTTAGACGATCCACAACCACCTAGATTACCGTATAGCCATTTAATGTTTTGGGTAGGCCTACTATGAAATCCATGGCAATGTTTTCTCATTTCCATTCCGGTATACTTAGAGGTTGTAGTAGCCCGGCGGTTTTCTACCTAGGGGCTTTTACTTGTTGACACACCAGACACTTGCTCACGTACTCTGCGATATCCTTTTTCATACTTTGCCACCAGAAGTGTTGTTTCAAGTCTTGATACATCTTTGTTCCACTTGGATGTATCGAGAAGGGTGAGTTATGTTCCTCAGTTTGGATTTCCTTCTTCATTTCGCTCACGGGTGGCACACATAAACGTCCTTGACATTACAATTCATTATCTATTGACTTAGAGAATCCATCCACTGGGCCTACTTTCAATTGGTCTAGGATTTTGCTTAGGCTTGGATCCCCATGTTGTGAGTCTATGATTCTTTGTTTGAGCGTGGGACGCACTGTCTGTTGGGCTATTTGGGCTACCACTTCTTCGGTTACTATCGCTATGTCAGCCCGTTCGAAATCTATCCGCACTCGTGGCTCCCTGGTGATGAGGGCCGACAAGTGTACTACTTTTCGACTCAGTGCTTCAGCGACTACGCTTGCTTTTCCAGGGTGGTACTGGATGTCTATGTTGTAATCTTTTACCAGCTCTAACCATCTACGTTGCCTCATGTTCAATTCTTTTTGTGTGAACAAATATTTTAGGCTTTTATGGTCCAGATAGATTTGGGTCTTTTCGCCATATAGGTAGTGTCGCCAAATTTTTAACGTGAACACCACTGTTGTCAGCTCCAAATCATGTGTAGGATAGTTTTTCTCGTAATCCTTTAGTTGGCGTGATGCATACACAACAACCTTGCCATGTTGCATCAGTACACCACCCAACCCCTTTTTGGATGCATCACTATAAATCACTTATCCCACAGAACTCTCTAGAACTGTGAGTACTGGGGCAGATACTAGTCTTTGCTTTAGCTCTTGAAAGCTGGCCTCACAAGTATTGTCCCAAACAAAAGGTACACCTTTTTTTGTCAATTGGGTGAGAGACATGACTATTCCTGCGAAGTCTTGGACAAACCTTTGATAGTAGCCCGCCAATCCCAAGAAACTTCGTATCTCGGTGACCGTTGTTGGGCGTTTCCATTTCGTGACAGCTTCTATCTTATTGGGATCTACTAAGATTCCGTCTTTAGACACTACGTGCCCCAGAAACGAAACCTGTCGTACCCAAAATTCGCACTTGGAGAATTTGGCATACAGCTTGTTCCCTTGAGGATAGTTAAGGCTTTGCGAAGGTGCTCTTGGTGTTCTGGGACCGTTTTGTAGTATATCAAGATGTCGTCTATGAACGCGATCACAAACGAGTATAAGCACTCCTTAAATACTCGGTTCATTAATTTCATAAATACCGCTGGGGCATTGGTGAGACCAAAAGACATCACCACAAACTCGTAGTGGCCATAGCTGGTTCGAAAGGTTGTTTTCGGTATGTCTTCATTTTTAATCTTAATTTTATGATATCCTGATCGAAGATCTATTTTAGAAAACACTGTCGCCCCACGTAGTTGGTCAAATAGGTCCTCAATATGGGGTAACGGGTATTTTTTCTTTACCGTCCTCTTGTTTAATTTCCTATAATCAATGCATAAACGCATTGAGCCATCTTTCTTTTTGACAAACAACACTGGCTCACCCCAAGGGGACACGCAAGGTCGAATGAAGCCTTTATCTAACAGGTCTTGCAGTTGTGATTTAAGTTCTTTTAGTTCTGCTGGTGCCATACGGTACGGGGCCTTAGAGATGGGTCTCGTTCTTGGTTCCAGATCTATTCCAAAGTCTACCTCTCGCGATGGTGGAGTTCTCGGGAGGTCCTCCGAGAAGACATCCATAAATTCGTTTACTATGGGTACTGTATCTATGGGTTTTTCTTTTCCTTTTATGTTTACTGCACAGGCTAGAAACGCCCACCCCCCTTGTTGTACCAGGCGTCTCGCTTTCATCATCGATATTATTTTTGGAGTGGTAATTGTGGAGGTCCCTTTAAACTTAAAGGTAAGTCTGTTGGGAGGTGTGAATATCACCTCTTTCTTATGGCAGTCTATGCTAGCAAAGTTTTCGGCTAGCCAGTCCATTCCTAGTATGATGTCAAAATCCGTCATATCTACTTCCTTTAACTCTACATGGATTGTTTGTCCAACTATTACCACTTGTCCGTCCTTTACTCTATTTTTCGTAATTAAGTCTACCCCTGTTGGGGTACCGACCGACAATACATGCATTAAGCGTTCTACTACGAACCCTGCTTCTTTAACAAATGGTAAAGAAACAAAGGAATGGGTAGAACCAAAATCAAACAATGTCAACGCAAAGTGTTCTAGTATAGAAAGCGTACCTGTCATCACGGTGCTAGATGTTCCCGCCTCTTTACTGGTCGTTGCATATTCCCTGGTCTGTGGGCGGGTTTGTATGGTGGGCTCTCGAATGACCGGTCCTCTAAGGGGTTCCCTTGGATTTCCCGAGCTCCTTGTAAGGCAAGTTCTGGCCACATGACCTGCATGTCCACATATATAACACATACCTGAGCCCGCCAAACATCTTCCAACATGTTGTTTTCCACAGTTACGGCACAAGGGCTTCTCCAGTGTTAGGTATCGGGCTATTGGGGGTGGAGCAGGTAGCCTACTCTGATATCGAGGTCTCTAGAGCGGTGGTTGCAATTTTGTTGTTTTGATCTCGATAGGGCATTTCCTCCCTGTGACAACCGTTGGCTCCGTTTTTTTCTTCTCCGGGGGTTCCTCTAGGGCCTTGGCCGTCCTTAGGGCCTCTTCATAGGTTTTTGGGTTAAAGGCCTCCAACATGCGGCGGGTTTTCGGGTTCAATCCCAACACAAATTTTTCTGTCTGTTTCTCTTCAATGTCAGCTAATGACGGTGCAAACCTTCTCAATCTCATGAAGTCCTGATCATACTGATCTACCGTGCGATCACCTTGGTTTAAGTGGTTAAACTCTTGTTGTTTCTTTATAATGGTTTCCTTTTGATAATAATATTTCAGAAAGGCTTCCTTAAAGGTTCCCCACGTTGTAATTTTCCTGCTCGGGTTGATGCTCTATTTATTATCCGACCACCGCACTTCAGCATCTTTTAGTAACACATACGTCGCACACGCCACCTTATGTTCATCAAGGCATCTCATTGATTCAATGGTCGTTTCCATGTTTGTGATCCACATTTGAGCCGTTGTGGGATCTTCCTTTAAACCGACAAAAGGACGGGGGTTATACCGTCTAAAATCCTTTAACCAACATGCACCCCTATCTGGATGCGGGTTGTATAGCTACTGCATTCACCGGTTGCGTGGCCGCCGCGTTGGCTGGTTGCGTGGCCACCGCGTTGGCTGGTTGGGTGGCTAAAGGTCGGGGACGAGTTTGGTGGCATCCCAGCCTTTGGCCGCCCTTTGTGGGTCGTGTGCGAGCGAAAACTCCGGCGTTCGCTGGAGTTCTTGGCTCTGTCGACGACCCCCATTTTTTTTCTTTTTTTTTTTTCGGTTCCGTTTCATTTCATGTCATTCACATCATGCTGTATACACACAATTTAAGAGACCTAACATAACGTTCTATGCTTTTAACATAACATTTCATCATATACACATCATACCATGACATATTGCATCAAAATGTATCAGATCATAAACAAGTAATAACGTGAACACTTCATAGTCATATCATTCTCTAACTTATCATAGCCTTAACGTTCTTATACCTATCACAGACATATCATTACGTGAACGTACCTTAGTCATATCATCATAAGAACTTAACCTAACGCTATCGTTCTATCAATCTATCACTAACCTATCCCTTTCTACCCGTAACCTAACCATATTCTTTCATCAATCTCTCTTATCCATATCACTCCGGTATGTAACCTAACCTTAACGTTTCGTGAACGTATTTTACTCCTATCGTTACATTTCGTTTTGTGCATCCTTCTTATATCCTATCTCAAACATATCCTTGAACACATCGTACAGTAACTATTATCATACAATTCACATATTATAACATATACATAACATATAGGAAGCATATCGATCCACATACAATTCACACATATCAATATATATGACACGTGCAGAACCACAGGACACGTGTCAACATCAAAATATAACCATGCCAATAGTAAGGTCACTTACCTGGCTAGCTTAAGTCGTTATCCCGGATACATCTTTAATTAAAGTTCGATTCCATCCTTTGCAATCCCAGTCAACCTATATGAGCCCATGACATTAGTTTCAGGTTTGAACTCTTCAACATTATTTCTCTAATTTACATTGGTCTATTATTAAAAGTCTGAAATGTTATATTCTATAATTATATTTTTATTAAAAAGTCTTATTTTTCATACGGTTGTATAAAAAAATAGATACACCTCTTTAAGTTATTCTGGGCTCTACTAATCTCTGTATTTACTGTTTACCTTTCATTTTGTATTTAGTTTGTGGTTTTTAATTTCTTCTTCTTTTTTATCTGTTTCCTTTTAATTCTTTTCTCATGCATTCCAAATTTCTAGTGATTTCTGTTTCCAAATCTTTCCTTATCCCAATGTTTCTTATTCATAAGTTTTCTTGCCATTCTATCTTTAATCTATTCATTTGGCTACTGATAAAAGTTTAATCTAATATTACTAATCTGACGTGATTGACTAGAATCATATAAATGATTAACATTTAGTTTTTAATTCAAAGCTAGATCATTGTAATAATTCAATGAAGATCTAATTATAATTGGTTGTGATTTCTAAAAAAATAGGATAAAAAAAATGAAGATTTAATATATACTTATTCATCAGATCTATCTTCTTGTAAATCTCCCGTAAATCTCAACTGGTCATTCTCATTTTTTTTTCCTCAAAGTAAATATGACAATTATTGTTTTTTTTTTTCTTTTTGCTATTACTTTCTGGTGTAAGGATGAGTTGAAGAGAGATAATTGTGGGAAGGGATGAGAGGTTAGTGGAGAGTAGCGGGTAAATATTGTTTTTTTTAATTAATTTATTATTATTATTATTTTAACTATTTTTATAATTATTTTTATTTGTTTATTTGTTTATTTATTTTTTGGGCTATTACATTGGATACCCATATCCCATCACGAGGGTATGGATGCGTACATCC